GCTTGATATATGAACATTTTACCTGCTAGAAAAGCCTTTCATTTAAACACGGGCTTGTAGAACTGGCTGAAATATTTTTCTCACATTCAGACCCAAACAGAGGGCCATTGTCTTCAGCCCGGTGCCCCGGTATGATGTCATAACCCTGGTCTCTCTGAGTAAGAATTGGAGGTAGCTTTGATTTATAGCTGGGTCTGCTGCCAACGTGCGGTTCTTAGAACTTCATATTAAATTAGATGACATAATGACACAAGTCCGGAGCCTAAGAAGGCATTATTGAACCATTTAAAACCAATTAGCACAGATTAAGTCGCTTATGAGACTAATTTAGAACTTCGAGCTCTCTCTTATTTTAATATTCAAAATTGAGGAAAATTTAAAATCATCTGTCATCTGACCTTATGCATTATGAAGTAAGAAGCATTTCAAAATTAACCGTACCAGCCAAGTTTACAGACATTTTTCCTGTTTATAGCAAGGGCCTGATTCTTCAGTTGGGTCTCTGAAGTGAATGGCATTCTTTTGAGTATGAGTTTATGTAGAAACTGTGCATTGTCCTTCTGTTTACAGTTTCACAAATTCTGACATCATTGCTGAAGTTTATTATTGGCAAATCTCGGGCAAACTCAGTCACAATTCTTCATTCTAGTCAGCTGAGAGTCTGCAAAACTGGGTGTTATCTCTGCACCACAGCGTAGCTTTAAGACAGAAAGCTTATGGTCGTTTGTTATGGCTCTACTGAATCATAGAAATAGTTGAGTTTCTCCTAACAGTGCTTGCAGAGTCTGAACAGCTGTGGGGCTCTTCAGTTAAGTGCCAGCCCAGGCCTGCTGTGTGCAGCGGCTCTTTGAGCTGGCATTCTTACCAAGTCATTAAAGATGATGACTAATTTGAAGTCTTTGAGCTGTATGTTAGTCAGTTGCTACTGTTCTCTGTTAAATATTAATTCTGAGAAAATGAATGGTGCTCTGCGTATCACATCACATCTCCCTGCGTGAAGTGCAGCACTTCTGCAGGTGAGTGACAGTGCAGATGTGAGTGACGTGTGCCTCATGGCACTCAGTGTACTGCGCTTCCAAAGGGATGTGTTTGAGAATGAAAACGCTTCTAGCTCAGATCTGTAAAGGTGTGCAGTCATTCAAACATGAGTCAGTAGGAAAGTGGTAATGCTAAGCCAGTAATGGCTGTAATTGTTCCTGCCTGCTTGGAAGGAATCCGTCCAATTCCACGTAGAGGAAGATGCTGTGATAGCTCAGGTGGACTTGTAAGGACTGTATCCACAGCTGCTCCAACTGTTCACCCCAGCTAAGGTTCTCAGCCTCCACAAAGGGAGCGAGGCAGGGAACAGTGGCATTTCTGTTGCCTGTAAGTTAAGGAATAGTTATGCATGTGAAATACAGTAGCTAAAGTCTGCTCAGATGGGAAGGTGTTAGGATCTTACATTTCTGCTGCCATACTCAGCTTTGAATGGTTGATTCCAGATCAGCTGTGTCATTAGTAATGGTTTCTAAAGGGAAAAAAAATGTCCTGCAGAGCCTTCTTTTGCTAACTGGTACCTCATAAAGACGTTCACACTCTTGTGAAGCATATTGAAGTTCTGCTGTCTCAAGTTGATATGATCCCTACACTCACTCTTCAGTGTTAAGTGTCTGCACAAACTTCAAAGCAATGAAAAGCCAGATACAAACCCATTTGCTATTTCAGAATGAATACTTTTGTTGCTGTTGTTTTTCAGTGCAGTACTTAGCCTAGCAAAAGAAACCTATCTTGAAAAACACAAAAAAAGGTAATGGAGACAGTTTGAGGTAGCTCAGACTGCTCTAAGCACAGGTGCAGGCAGTATCTGTTTGTTTCCAGACACTTGCTTCAAGGTACGTGAAATAACTGAGTTCAAGATTATCAGTTCAGAGCAATACAAGAGGACAAGGTAAACAGATGTCAAATGAAGTGTCCCCCTCCATTCCCCCTACCAAATTACTGTCAGAGATCCAGCTATTGCGACTTGCTGTGGCTGGTGCCTGTAATTAATGCCAGTCTCTGTTTTGCGCCTGAGTTTACAGAACTTACTTTTGGTTACTGTCACCACCTTCAAGAGTTTGGGGACTAATGGAATAACCCCTGTTGCACATAATTCCATTGCCTAGTGCAGAGCAGGACTGAGCAGTTGTGGACTATTGCTTGTGGCAGCTGTATTCAGAGTAGTGAGATAAGAAAATGTAAAGTACATATTTTTGATGTTCACAATCATTCATTTGACTCCATGGTTTTATATAGAAAAAATATCAAAAGTGCAGTGACAAAAAGTGTCTGGTGAGCCAAGTAGCAAAGATGTGCTGTGAAGGGCTACAACAAAAACCAGCCTGAGATCAGGAACCATAAAGCCTCCTCCCTCCAGCCCTGTGTGCCACCAGGGCTATAATCCTTCCCCGGGTTATAACAAGTCAGACAGCACCAGGGTTTATTGCAGTTGAATTGCCAGTGGTTGAGCTCGGAATTATTTAGCACAGGTGTTTCTATAACAGTGATATATTGGGAAAATTCAGTGTTCAACAACCATCATATTTCCAGCTGTGCTGTGGTTAGTGCTAGTACAGTGAACCTAATATAAAACATATGAGAATATTTGCTAGCTCAGGAACTTGTTAAAGGTATTTTCTTACAATATCTGTGCTGCTATATTTATCTAGGTGCGTTTCTTTGGTCTTGCATTTTCATAAAGGGTGTGATACTGGTTTTATAAAGCTGTCTCCAAACCTGGATTCTGCTTCTCTGTAACCAAGTGTATTAGTAGTGGTGCTAGCCAGTGTACAGCACGCAAGCAGATGAAAATAAGATTGTGAGGAATCCAGTGACAGTCCATTATCCTTAGTACATTCATCCTGAGTGGCACGTTTGCATTTGATACATATATAGGCATGTTTTTACTAGGGGTGATGGAAATCTTGAAACAAGTGTTGCAAGCATCTATATATAAAAGAACATAAAAGGACGAAAGTTAACAAGAGCCTGGGGGGCTGTAAAACAAAGGTAGTGAACTGCATCCACTAGCAGCAAAATTTGTGAGCGTTAGAAAAGATTTTTTTAGGTACAAATGCTCACACGTGCGTTTTGATGGGTTGAAAAGACTGATGCACGAATATAGAAACAAGTGATTGGAGAATATAAGGGCGGCTCTGAAAATAATGCCTCCTATTTTATTAGGTTGGGTCAGAGGTGGATGTTGGTGGTATGGCAGCAGAGGGTGAACCTTCCTGACAATATTCCATTGCATTTTGTTGCCGTGTGACAGATGGCAGCAGAGGGTCAGTCTGACAGAATGGCATTTGACCTGGAAGTGCACATGAAGCAAAGGTGTGTCACTGAATTCCTCCATGAGGAAAAAATTGCACCCTTTGGTGTTCATCAACACTTGCCGTATGTTTATAGAGATCAAACAATAGATGCAAACACAGTGAGTGGGGGATGATGCATTTCAGCAGTGGTGACAGCAACAGTGGGTCACCTCTGCTGGTGCAGATTTTTATGAGCACAGCACACAGGATCTTGTTATGACTAGTGAAAATGCACAGCTAATGGTGATGACTACCTTTAAAAAGCATTTTGTAGCTGAGAATTTGCTCTATCAAATATTGTTATTGTGCTTTTTGTACCTGTTGTAGTTTCCACGGAAATAAATAGGAGGCATTACTTTCAGAGTGACCTGCAGACAAGGATGTTGGTAAAAAACATGCATGTAAAGACACAGAAACACTCATGACAAGCATCTGCTCTAAGCTGAGCTGTACAAACATGTTTCATTAATAACTCTGTGCCACAACGGGTTTGTTATCCTAGTATTCTAACAGGCATTCTCTGGTGTCACCACACATTTCCAACAGTCCATCTAAGCTATGGCTGTCCCGTGGATCTCTTTTGAGAAAGAAGATTAAATGCCACGAGGCATCCAAAGTCAGCTGTTGTATGCCTTATAGTTTCATCTGACTAGAAGAAATGCATCTACATACTGACTTGGCCCTATTGTTTATAATTTTCCTGACAGAGAAAGTAGGCATCTTTTACCTATGAACTGCACGTGTCATGTAGCAGGAAATGCACCTCTCTGATTTGAGACAGATAGCTGATGTGAAAAAGGCACACTGATTTAAGGAAGATCTTTCCTCTGACTTGAGAAAGCAGCTCTGTATTTTTCATGACTGGATTGATAGTCACTGAGTCATTCTGTCCATGAGCTGGTGCCATTTCAAGACATGGTTTAACAGCTCAATTAGGACCTCTTTGGAGACAGCAGATAGAGCAAGCAGAGATGTAGAACAGGAATCAGTATTTCTTGGTATCCAGAGACTGAATTAACACCTTTTAGGAGCTGGCATTAGGGACTTGGATCCAACTTAGAATCACAAAAAGTTGGATGTGACTTCTTGAGAATTTTACACTCATTTGTTGTTTAGCAAGATTGTAAAAACTAAACAAATCAAATTCTACTCTTTCAAAAATATCTATATAATTGAAAATTTACTCTACGTGGTACTTTGTCTTTTATCTTTGCAGTTTTGCTTTTGCTAAACTCTGAAGCTCCATTTCTACCTTATTATGCACCAGTTTACCAAATGGGCAGACATTTATCAAATGGGCCATCAGTAGCCGTAGAAATGCAGTAGTATGTCCAAGTTAAAATTCTTGCTTTGATTACTACAAATACATGGAGCCCTTGGGTCCAAAGCTTCCACTGAAGCACAGCTATTTGCAAATAGATTTTTATAGCACATTAGTGCTGGAGGAGAGTCCAAAGAAAATAGTCCTTTTCAATATTAGAACCAGCTGTGACTTTCTTGTGCTGATGACTCATTCATTTTTTTTTATAGGGTGGGAGAACTAGGCAAAAGACACACAGAGTCTTATTCAAGACGTTGTTTGTTTTGCAAAGGGTATCCTAGCCACAAGCCAACTTGATCATACCAATATGCAGCTCATGTTTATTTAAAACTTTTTTCTTTTAACAGTTCCAATTATAAAAACAGAACCCACAGATGACTATGAGCCTGCTCAAACCTGTGGACCAATGAACCAAGGCTTAAGCCCTCTCTCTAAACCATACTACAACCAGCAGATCATGATGCCCCCTGATCCTGGTTCGTGCCTCATGGCTGGCTTCGCCTCCTGTCAGCAGAGGAACACGGTGATGTCACCCTCTCCCAACGCAAGCCCCAAGCTGCACGACCTTTCATCCTCTCCTTACAAGTGCATCCCCAACCCAGGCCACAGTCACCTCGGACTTCAGCAGCCCGCTGGAGGTGTCCCCACCATACAGGAAGTGCCAAGGTCTATAGTTGTGCACCCAAGCTCCCCCGAGCAATCATCTCACATCATGCTGCAGCCGCAGGTGAGTCAACATCTGAGCAGTAGCTGTCCCCTTGGTTATCAACAAACACTCTATCCCAACAGTCCCTCTTCTCCAGTTCCATCTGTTACCCAAGAGCCAACCTATTTGCAGTCCTGCAGTCCAACTCACTCATCCATAATGGGTCAACAGCAGCAGCAACTGCCGAAGGTTCACAGAAATGAGTCTCCAACAACCCAACCACTGTCATTGCCAGAGTTGCATGAGGAAAGTAATCATAATTTGGCCCCTATTCCTGTAACGATCAAGCGAGAACCTGAGGAATTGGACCAGATGTACCTGGATGATGGTAAGTCTTCCACAGCGTAGAGGTTTGCGTTCAACCATGTTGCTCTATCAGTGAGTTCCCTTAACTTCCTCCTCCTTTTGAATTCGGGTGGAAAAGAAAAGTATAATTAACAGCCTGGTGGAATTATGCTGAGTTTTGCTCGGTTTGTTTCTATATGGAAAAAGGTTCTCAGTTTCACTTGCAATAATGAAACCATATTATCTAAGCCTTTAATGCTATCAGTTAGAGCTGGCTGCATGACCAACAGCTACACTGCAATAATCTTAACTGTATGGTCTTGGCTTATGCCTATGTCAGTGACTCATGAAACTGCAGTGAAAACATATTTAACATTGTTCTGTCCATAATGAAGTAAAATTTCTGATACACAAATCTTTGCACTGGAACTAAATGATAAACTGCTCTCCTTCAGTTGTGAAAATTTAAATTAAAAATAGTGACACATCTTCCAGCGTAACTTTTCAGTCTGGTGGCATCTGATATTACTTCTTTTTCTTCCATTCTTATTCTTACTGAGGACTTGCTCCTGCTTTTTTCTTTTTTTTTTTTTTTGGTAAGATTTTCTATGCATATATATTCTACATGCACCACTGAAATATTAAAATGCTGCGATGAACTTGTCAGACTCCAGCTTCCGAAGATTTATTAGCTGAGCATAATAAAAGGGGTAATCTGGAATTTGATTATGTGACCTCACTGAACTGTGATTTAGCACATGCTGCTAAGTATCCCAGAAGTATTCTGAACCCTCACCTTAATGCAGTACGTGAGTTCCCTTCCAATAGCCATATAACTTTATGTAACATACCATGCCATGCTATTTGAAAAAGAAATGCCTTTGAAATGGCTGCATTGAAACCAATTAGTGCCAAGGAACCTGTGAATGCAACTGTCTTTCAGGGAGAATTTAAAGACAGTTCATTGCCAAAAAAACAAACCAATTTTTATTTTAGACAGCATGATACTACCTGAATTAGGATTATAAATGAATGTTTAGGAGCAGTCTTTTGATTTTCAACTCTGGGAAAATCATTTTAGCAACAGAAGTTGTTATTGATTACATCATAGACAGGTCTGAGGAATTCCCCTAATTAGGAGTTCAGTTTACTAAAGTTTTGCACAACACATTATTTGAGAGTGTTATCTTCATATACTGTACATTTTTCACCACTATAAAGCTAGTCTATAGCTGTCTTTCTAGAAAAGTACAAAGAATGGATAGTCTTTCTGCCATACTTCTCCAAAATCCAGCAAGCACTTCTGTCACAGCATTACCAAGCCCACCTTTGTCTCATCTCTGCTGGAGGAACTGGACTGCAGCTGAGATATGAAGAGTAGAGCTTATCAACCATATCTACTTCAGGTCTCTCCTGAAGGATCACAGGAGCTTTGTTGCAGTGTGATCTGGAACAGAAGTTTTAATCATAGAATCATAGAATCACTAAGGTTGGAAAAGACCCACAGGATCAACCAGTCCAACCATTCACCCACTACCAATGGTTCTTGCTAAACCATGTCCCTCAACACTACATCCAAACGTTCCTTAATTTATTTAGCAACGTTCATTCTCTCTGACAAAGCAGAAATGGCTTAGTCCTTACCCATTTCTGTTCCGTTCTCTCTTCTGGACACACATACATACCAGTCATCTGACAGACAGACAGAAGTAATTGCAGAAACCACCATGTACATCTGCACTGATACTTAAAGCTGACTTTGAGGATCTATTCAGCTCACCAAATTCAGACATATTTCCCTTTGGCATCCATCAGGCTATCAAAATCATTCATTCCATGGCTGACCACAAGAACTATAAGCCAAAAAATAATATGTAGATGTAACAGGGCAATGATATATAATAGAAGAAAAATAACGTATGTCATTTCAGAAAATTAAGCAATAGCAGTTCGCTCTATGGGTAATCAGAAATGGTAACTAGAGGAGCTACCTGTTCTGTGACTACACTGATGTTTAGGTCTGTCACAGACTAATGCAGCCTTGTCCACGTGAGCTTACTGTTACCCGTCTGTGCCCTATCTCACTGCCTAAAGAAAAGGCCATCCACTCTGTGCCTTGCCTTTGATGATGTCAGGAAAAGAGTACTACTGTCTTCTTGTTCATCTCTGTGTTGGGTCTGAGAAAGGAACTGTGCAGCAGAGGAGCTGGAGGGTGGAACCACATCCTGTGGGATATGTGCTGGCCAGGACACTGACACACCTCAGACACAGCACAGAAGCACAAAGCTGTATGTCAGGCTCAAAGCCAGTTTACATCTATGCATTCATGGAGGCAACCTAAGAACAACCTGTGCAGATAATGTTTTCACATTACAATTAATCTGATTAACTTATAGGCTCTCCATGGAAAGGGTTGCATCAGTCCATCTAGGCCACATGCTCTTGCTTCTTCCTTTGAGTAATATCAATTAATTATGTAGCAGCAAACAGGCTAATAGGAAATTATCTCTACAAGAATAACAAAATCTACACAGTTTTCCATTGGATCAGCTCATTGAACTGCATTTGGTGGGTCCAGCCCATCAGGAAGCCTTTTGCAGTAGGGCCACACTGGGTGGCAGACAGCCCACCCATAGTCTAGAGTGTGCAAGACTTGCAGCCACATCTGATGTCATTTTATCTTCCCCAGCAAATGTCTAATCGGCTCATCCTGTCTCAGCAAAAAAATCCCCATATCATGCTCACCCCCTACTAATGAAAGGCTGATGTCTTCCCTTCCTGACACAGTCTCAAAGGACAGTTTGGCCACTGTGGGGACTGCCTAGAAACTTATGTGATTGCAGTTGGTGTCCCAGTAGGTGATGCTCAGTGAGATATGTACCCCATGTGTGCAGTGCTTTTGTGCCTGGGGCTGTCTCATTCAGACCTCTGGTACTAATTGTGGAATAAGGCACTGTCCAGGGGAAGAATGGATTTTACATGTGCCTGATTTTTTTTTTTAATGTATCACCATTGTTTATTGTTCAGTTGTATCCATCTTTAAATTATATAGCATAATTTAAATTACTTTTAATTTTTCTAAATATTTGTACCTGGCATCAATATGAGAGCTAGAGAGATGTCAGATAAACTTCACTGCTTCCCTTCCATATTACTCTAAATATATCAACTCTTTCCATCATCCTTAAGGTAGATTAAAAGTAATGCAGTGTTGAGGTGACACTAAAAATTAAATTCACAAAGCTTAATTCCATAAATAAATAAATATTCGTAGTGTCTTGTAACTACTTAATACCTCCAGTTTTACTTGGAAGTACTTATGACAAGTGTGAGATACAGACATCTGACATACTTATGGGACTACTGGACAAATGAAATATCTAACTGGCTATGCCAGATGATATTTGGTAAAGTTTTGGTTGCTTGTTTTCCTAGAAAAAAAAAAAAAATCTGGAGAGGTTGAATTTATGTAAGTAATATATATGTAGCAATTTTGGAACAGGTATAAACAGAAATTTTTTGGTTTCAGTTTATGGGATCAAAGCAATGCTCATTCTTTGTGGTCTGGAGTAACTCCAAATATAGACCATCTATACTGGAGTGTAAAGATGGAAAAAAACAGTCAGTGAGTATATATAATATATATCCTGTACATAACACTTCTCTGCTTCTGTAATGGTGGGCAGCTGAACTGATATAAAGGGAGCACCCAAAGAGATTTCCATTTTGGCAAGTAAGCTTTGGTCTTGGCAATCTTGTTTTAAATCAAAATCTACAGTAGCCACCTGGGTTACTCATTAAATGCGCTGTCCGTTTCAATATGTGCATATATGATTCAAAATGTATAACATATTTCAAACTCACCCCATAAAGTGATACCTGATATATTATGGCTACGCTCTTGATATTGAAAACTATCTGGCTTGTATACCAGCACTCATTTCAAATAATTATGAGTTCAACCTCCAAACAAAGATTATGGCTGACTCCTGCTGCTGCTTTCACAGCAAGATTTGATGTGCTGTTTAAAAGCATGGCCTGATGAAGGAGCTGAAATGTGACATTTATGCCTCGTGCTGTTCCTCTGCTGGTTCTTTGCAATAGAAGACATGGTGTCTCCTGTCCTCCTTGCCAGGAGTTCTTGCAGCAGCCTGCAGCACACTGCAGCACCCTGGCAGACCATCCAGTGCTAACACTGTCTCCATGTTCCTATGTTGTCCTTGCTCTAGACAGCAAAGATGACATGATTTTCCCCTTACAGATCTAACCCGGGAGCAGTGCTGGGTGTGTAGGGTGGTAGAGCCCATGGAAAATCCTTAGGCAGACAGGCAGTCTGATTTGTCTTCCTGTAGGACATCTTCAGTACAGATACATGCGGATAACTGCTTTTGAGAGTAAACATTTTGGGGGGGATCAATGAGTCTAAAGTGCTGTACAGCCTTTGGAAGGATAAAGCAGAATTGACATTGCCAAACGAGACAGCCAGTTTGGGGAAACTATGAGCTGATGAGAATTCTCCCTACTCCCTGAACCAATCGTTACCTCAAGGGGATGTGAAAATTTACCTTAATTTATATCTCACTTTTGAGTAGCTCCTCATTAGCCCTCTAACAGGGACCTGGGTCAAAATCTGTGACAGTCTGTTTTTGAAATAATCCTACTTTTTTTCTGTTGTCTGGGGGAACTCAAATAATTTTTCCAAATTTTGAATACTTTTCTTAGTGGTAGAAGAAATTCCAAGCCAAAAGTGGTGGAGCTGTGTTCACACAGCTTTCAGGATGTTCAGGCAGCTTGGGGACCAGCCAGGCTCACAACAGGGGATGCTAAAGGTGACTTGAGATCATCTACCTTATCCCCATTTCCCTTTCCTGGATCTAGTGTAGTCTGGGTGTAACACAGAGTCTCCAAATCTTTTTATTTCACCAGGATGGAGAGTTCAATTAGGTATGTTAATGCCAAGAAACATTTTTTGGGTTGTAACTGGCACTCCCAAAAGCTATGGCATTTTTACCTGCAGCAGAATGATACTCAACTGTGAAATTATTTCCTGCCATTTATAAACATCAAAGAAATTAGTTTTCATTACAGATGAAAATGAAGCTATTTCTAAAAAGCTAGTGGGAAACACATTGGTACCAACAGGAAAAAGGTGGATTATTTATGTTCTCAGCAGATATCGAGGTACGTGCTTTGATCTGATCTTGCTATATGAATGCATAAAACTTTACAAAAGCAATTTTTAATGAAAAGTGAAACAGCAACCTGGAGGATTCTTTAATAAAGGTTAAGAAGCTGAAGAAGGCCTTGGCTTCTTCAACTTCTACCCAATTTTGTGATGGAGTCCCAGCCATTTGTAGGCAGCAGCAAGCTACCGCTGACTGTAATGGGGCCAGAATTTCACCCTCAGGTTAAAAAACTCTTTTCCAGAATGCCCCAGGTCCCATGGAAATGCCAGAGCTGGAATAACAATATCTGAAAGACAGATCGCTTGTCTGAAGTTTTGTGTATTAAGTCAGCCTCCTCCACTCCACACAGACACATTCATAAAAGTCGCTATGCTGATCTTCACTTGATCTGAACTATAAATCTTTATGTAGATAGATGAACGTACATAAACCATAAACGAAGATATCTGATGTTTATATACACGGCTAACAGAAAGTATCAAAACCATATCATCATCCTTTTTAAAACAAGGAGGCTTTTGTTCTTGTGATTGTCTTTGCACAGCTGTGAGTTTTATAGCGCCGTGCCAATGAATGCGCTCATTGCAACTTTTATTTTACTCTGAAAAGGTAAATTGGGAGCATTAAGCCCCCAATAAGTATGTAAAAGTGGCAAAACCACAGGTAAAGTGTTACTGAAAGCTGCAGCCCTGCCAGTCATTTCATTTTAAACATGACTCTTTTAAAAATAACTTTTGCAGTAAAAGCTGTAACTCCTGGACGTAATATGAGCTATTGCTAATGTCATTCCCATGAATTGCTTACAGAGTGTTGAACTGTTAGATGTCTGACAAGTCCATATATCTCCTATACTGTATATATGATTTTTTTTTTTTTGCCTCTAGACCATATGTTCTTTTTTTTCTTTTTCTTATTATTCCTCTGTATTCTTCAAATGCACGTGCTTTGGTGATATAGTTTATTTGAACAGGAACTATAGCAGACAGAATTATTCTTTTGCTGAAATGTATCCTTTTTCATACATCTCAGCGTCGTGATTAAAGTGATTGGCTCTTAAGGCATTAAGTTTAGTCTGCTGCTGCCACAATTATGCTTTTGAAAACTCCTGAGTGCACTCTGTGATTTTCAGTAGTCCAGATGTCATTAGAGCAACATGCAGGTAGTCTGCAAAGTCCAGTAACACTGTCTACACTTCAGTCTGGCTTGTGTGAGCTTTTCCCTCCCTCCTTCTTGGCCTAGAGTAGCAGTTCTGGGAAAAAAACAAATAGCTGTCCTCATGGAAAGTTTTACTTAATCTGGCCTGGTGCCTGCCCCGAGACCCTCCTCACTTCTAATGATGATTGAAAGTGTACATGCTACTGTGATAAAACATGCTGAGTTGTTAACATTCGGGACTTCGGTTGTGCGTGATGAGTAAGGGAGGACTGAAGTAATTTGTTAGTGTCAGATCTCCGGTGGACTTGCAAGTCTGAATTTGAGGGGAGTCCTGTTACACAAAACCACACTCCTGGACTAAGGAGGAAGTTTCGCTGCTCTCAGCGAGTTGAAGTGAATTGAGTCTCCCAAGAGGCTCGCCAAAAGGAAGCCCCCAGAGGAGTAGGTGATCAGACTAGGTGTCACATCCTGAGTCCCTCCAGTCCCGTGTGCATGGGTGCTCTCAGAACAGATCTGAGTGCCTCTAATTGCAGTACCTGTGCAATCTACCAATGAACTTTTTCTTCTATCACCAGCGCTTACGTAGCCAGGGAGGCCCTAGATTCTTGGGCTTTCAAGAAAGATCTAGCTTCTTCCGGGAAGTCCTGAGTGCCTCCACCTTCATTCGGTGATCGTAGACACTTAAGGAGGCACAGAAGTTGGGACCAGGGGAGTGGTAAAGTGATGGGAAAGCCGTAAAAACCAGTAGGCCATGCTTTGCATTGTTTTGATACCCCAGAGGATTTTTAGTGCACAAAGTTCAGCCAGCCTCTGTTTGATGTCATCTGCATGCACGCCTTCACATCAACTGTTTCATATCGTTTAGTGTACAGATCATGAAGCATTACACTGCCTCTGTTGAACTGAATGCCAGCTTCACACTTGGTAGTCACAGTGCAATTAACTGGGGAAAAAACTGCCCCCCACTTCCATGTCTGTTTCATTCTCCTATTTCAATCGTAATGGCTGTTGGCATTGCTGTTTCAAATGGTAAAGGTTTCGTGGGTTATTTTCTGCAAGTTTTCCTTGGCGATCAGGGGAGAAGAAGTTGCTGTATCTGAGCCTTTGTAACATTTACATCTGCTTTTAAGCCTGGAGGAGCGCCAAGGAAAATATGTGGCTTGCAGAAGCACAAGCTTCTTGAGAAAGCTTTGTTCCAATGCAATTCATTTTAGGAATATGTTGTTTGTTTGAAACATTTCTGCTGAGCTGTGCAGTGTTAGCTGGCCAGGTGTGGCTGTGTGGCTCATGGATGGCCTCCGTGCTCTCATGTCCTGAATCCCTCCTGGCAAAACACTGCTGGGGAAGTTGCTTTATAAAATCCCTCTTCTACATGGAGAGTATCATAGAGACCTCTGCTGCAAATAGAAGACTTGGGCTGAAGCAACTCTCTTACTTAGCCCAGAAAACATATACGTGTCAAAGGAAGTGCTCTCATGAGCAAACTCACTGACTTCACGTACAGTGCTCTTGGCTGAGTGTTAGCAAGCTGTAATGTTGCTAGACTGCAGAGTGGCAGAGGGCCTGCCTCTGCTCCCACTTAAGTCAATAACACTGTTCCCTTTGGGTTTATTGGGAACAGGACCAGGCATATGGCTGGTAGTTAAAATGCATAATAGCTGCATTCATTGCAATCTGGTTGCAGATAGAGATGCAGAGAAGGAAATTTTTCTAGGAGATTCATGTGCAGCACTGTCAGTTGTGTCATCTGCATCTGCTGGACAACTGTGGGCACGTAGCTTGACCATCACTGTCAAGAATGGGCTTTTTGATAACCTGGCTCCTGATCTTTTCTCCTCTCTGAGGGGCTAGTGCTGATTGCAACCAAAGAGGGAACGTGCTTTCCACATGAGGCTTATCACTAGACTGGGAGGAAGCTTATGAAAAAAAACAGACCCTCAAAACATTCCCCTTCTCCTTCTCTGTAACTGAAAAGGCCTCTAAAATCTAAATGTTGAAAAAATTCAGAACTTATTGGGAAGTAAGAAATAAGGAAACTATGGACTTATTCCTTGTTAACCAGTTTGGTTGGGTTTGTCTGCAAACCAGAAAGCTGGCCCAGTCCTGTTCTACTGGCTTGGCTTGGTTGGTTGGCCTTCTACATTTTCCATACTTTCAAGTCTACTACAAGACAGGTATCAGGAAGTGAGATGGTCCTGAAATTATATAAAAAATCCTCCCTAAGCACATGAATATGTGCATTTGAATGATGTTGGGAAGCAATTATACTGACCGTTAAAGTCCACATTTAGTGGATTAAATTCTTTCATCTTTATGTAGTTACGACTTGTGTTTCCAAGCATCGTGTTTGTAGAAGAACATTCCTCTCATCTTGCCTTTGCCCAAATGTTATTTTCTTCTACTTAGTTTTAGCCTTCTGCATTCATGTGGGAATGCAGAAGATGAGATTTACTCTTCGTGTCTTTGCTGTCCAGATTTTTCTTGATGTGAGCTTTCTGTGGGAGCTAAGGCTAAAGATTTATTCCATCTCATACCTGTTGTGATATCTTTGTGGTTCCAGGGTAGATATTGCAATAGATATAACTAACCAATTCTGATACCCAGGGAGCAGCAGTCAGCTCTTTTTCTAGTGCTTCAGGGAAAATATGTATTACATTGCCATCTTATGAATAAACACTTGTGTAAACCACTTAAGAAGTAGAAAAAAAAGCCTTTTGGGGTCATGGGTGAAGCCTCCAAAAATGCGAAAATGCAAAATATTTAAACGTTCATTTCTATCCTGTATATGCAGATCCATAAACAAACACATAATGTATGTGTGTGTGCATATATGCAACGGGCTTCTCTGAAAGTAATGCCTGCTATTTTATTAGGTTGAACCACCATGTCAAAGGCAGATGGTGGTGGTATGGTAGGAGAGGTTGAACCTTCCTGCCAGTATTTCATTACAGTTTGTTGCTGTGTGACAGACAACAGCAGAGGGGCAGTCTGACAAAATGGCTGACATGGCAGTGTGTATGAAGCAAATATATGTCACTGAACTCCTCCATCTGGAAAAAATTGCACCCATGGACACTCATCAATGCCTGCTGAATGTTTATGGAGACCAAACAGAAGACATGAGCACAGTGAGATGGGGGTGGTGCCTGTCAGCAGTGGTGACAGCTACAGTGGGTCACCTTTGCAGGTGCAGGTTTTTGACGAGTGCAGCATGCAGGCTCTGGTGAAGATGCATAGCTAATGGTGGTGACTACGTTGAAAAAGTGTTTTGTAGGTGAGAGTTTGCTCTATTAAAAAGTGTTATTGTGCTTCCTATATCTGTTGTAGTTTCCGTGGAAATAAATTGGAGAAATTACTTTTGGAGCAACCTACATACATATGTAAGTGAGATGTAAGACGTAGTATACTAATTCTTCTACCTGCTTTAAGGTGTATTGGCTGAGAGTCCATAAGAGTTGGCTGAGAGACACTCATGCAGGTGTCTCTTGAGTAAGACTTCTTAGGAACATGAGGTCAAGAGGAGAAGCCCATTCTGTGGGACTTCCATTGTGCTCAGGTTCTGAACTGAGTTGCCCTTTGCAGCTCTGAAATCTGGCTCCATGCTGTTGCACGCTTCTGAGCTGTAGCTGTTGATGAATGATTTTCAGGCATTTAAGTGTTTGTGATCCAGCTATTCTTTTTGTAAACTGAAGCAACTGATCAAGATGAGCTCCTCTCTCTTAGCTGGCTTTTCTCCAGTCCTAGCTGTGTTCCACCGCATTCCAGGCTGCACTTGGACTCAGCTAATTGCTTGAGGGCTTTCACCTCAGTGCATCTGCATAAGCCTTAACAACTTGTCCAGGCAGCTTCCCCTTACAGTGGTGTGTCTTTGGGTTGTTGGTATTCAGGAGTCTCAAATGTGGTAAACTAAAGTACTAATGAGGAACCAGCTGTGATGATGTTGAGGAATAAGGTTTTGGAAGGACACGGTAATGCGAAAGCATCTTTTGCAACAAAGGCAATGTATATACATTTACGTGGGGAACACGCACAGAAAAGGGAAGCTTTCTCATGAGGCTGTGAAATGGTTAGCACATATTTGAAAGTTTCAGACGTAAAGTCTGTCTGCGAAAATACTTGGTGACATAGCTAGAACAAAAGAAGGCTTGAGAAAAAGAGAAATGAGAGGAAAGTTAAATACAGCATGCTCATTCAAAGAAAAAAAAAAAGAGAGAAAAGATGGATTTTGGAAGAAGAGGAGAAATGGTGAGTGTGGGTGTGAGAGAAGTTTGTCTAAAACTGAAATAGTAGAAATGAGTAGTAATAGCCCAGGATTTGCGTGCCATATGGAAGTATATTTAAAGAATGCTCCATTTTGCCCCAAAATAATTTACCAGTAGAGAAAAATGGAAGGAGATGATGAAATAAGCATTAACCTTAAGCAGGTTAAATGAGACCTAAAAAAACGTTCATGAAGCAGCAGTCTGATGTCGATACTGATCTGCAGTGAGGTTATTGCACTGCATAGGGGCAGCTCCACTGGGGCATTTCCATGGGAGTTATCTCTGGGCTTTATTGCCAGGGAGACAGCTTCAGAATTACCATTGAATGGAGAGAGTTCCTGCAAGAAGCCCACAGGCCGTCAAAAATATGTTAAAAAATAAGGGGATGGTGAATATTCTTTGAGTAAATACAGTCACACCGCCTGAATTTAGTGAGAATCTCTTATATTAAGACTTCTTTTCAAAATAACAGGGTGTTCTTGAAAAAATCAGAAAAAAATCAGAGATATTTTTTCGTTGTCTCTTCCCCATTAGAAATTATGTAGAGAAAATAATATTGCTAGAAGGAGTAGAAGTGATTGGCCTTTGACAAGGCAGGGAAGGATTTTCAAAAGTTCATTTTCAGGGTTATATGTTTGAAGAATAAAACTGGAAATCCCCTTACTTTGGAACTTTAGAGAGATGGCATTAAAATTACAGTCAGGATGTGATCCAAATGCCATGAAAAAAATTTTCCATCAATTTTGATGGATGTTCTAAAACAGGATGTGTTAAATCACAGGAAATAATAGCAACGTTGCAAGTAAATTAACAGGAGATTCAAAACACATTATGAATTAGTGCATTAAAGAATCAATTAGAGTCAACTACTTAAATAAAGACAGAGTAGTAGCAAAAAATAAAAAATAAAAGTTTGGATCTAGAAAAAAATTGAAACATCTGCTGAATTTTCCAGAGCTATATTTAATATTAACTTGGGAAAAACACCTGGACTGAATGGCATCTCATCAAAAAATTATGTTTCCAGAGCAAAATCACTCTTAAAAAAAAAGTAATAATGATCTACTCAGCTAAAAGAGAAAATTCCTCCCTCATCTCATCCCTACCATTGGGTTTCATTGTGGGGAGCATCACCATTTGAAACCAGAGCAGCAACCAAGTGTTGATCCAGAAGTTTTCTGTTGATTATTAAGGTCTAGTGTCTGAGGTCTCCATCCTGCTGGCTGCTGCAAAATGCACCTTCTGTCCTCATGATCTAGTTTACTGCAGCAGGGCCTGCCCATGTAAAACAGACCAGGTAGTAGGATTTTATTATTATAGAGCACTCAACACAAAATAGAGTATGACAAGTAAATGTGATAGAGCTGCAAGATTCCCCTTTAAGAAAACTTCAAATGGATGGACCATTTCTTTGGTTGTTAAATGAATATTCAGAAGAAAAAAAAAAAATTGCTTTTAAAATTTGAAACAGAAACCTACTCTCTTGGATTTTAGTCAGGAAGGTGGTAGAGACAAGACTTTATCTAATCCTGGGAGCCGTGACCTTAATTTCTAGTCAGCTAGGTGGACATCACCAGCTATATACGTGTTTCAGTAGCAAAATCTATGGTTTCCCTGATAAAGAAATCCGAATTTCTGCAGCAATTAATGTGATTTTGTGCTGTTGGTTAAGAGATCATTTCAGAGAGCAGCTGACAGATTAACATGACTTCAAATGAGGCTGTATCATGCTTTCTGTTGTGCACTGTGCTGGTTACTGCCTTCCTGTGCCTCTTTTCTGAATTGTCAGTGTTCAGAAAGTTCAAAGTCATTAAATTTTGTATGAAAAGCTCCTACTGAGGAGAAGCACCTCAACTAGTAAAAAAACCCCATACCTTAAATGATTGCAAGAATTCTTTCAACTGTCTAAGTATGAATAGTTCTCAGAAAATGGAAGAGATACCTGCATTGCACATTGCTCCTGCAAATGAAAATCTTAGCGTGGGAAAACTTTCAGTTATTCTTGATAGAGACGACTACATTAAACTAGCTTTTATTCATTGAGATGCAGTGCATCTGCACTGATTTCTACCTGTTCGTAACCAATACTTATTTAAGAATGAATGTTCTAGCAGCAGAGATGGTTCTAGCTGCCTGCTCACTTGAGATTACTTCACTTTTAAGTACAAGCAGACATTTCTGTGTAGCTTTTTTCTTTCCATTACAGACTTGTATTTGTTTCTCATATGCCAGTGAAAATCGCTAAAGGAAATGAATTTGTATGAATGGATTTCGTATATTTCATGGTATACCAATAACAAATTCCTGGTTTGTAGAATAAGAAAAGGTAGGGCTTTTCCAAAAGATTTTAATATTTGGCTATGATCAGTTGCATAAAATGAACCGTTCTTTCCTATGTGTCTAAACTCCAAGTTGCATGACTTGAAGTTATGTGTTGTTTTTTCCAGTCTCATGTCAGTAAATAATTGTAATGCTGCTCTTGAGTCTGTCTCTGACCTTCTCTGTGGTTGCCCTTTCTTAAAAAAAGGCTGAAAATCGTGATCATTGATCTCTTTTTGTGACCTAGTCTCATCTAGTTTGTTAATCCTATTCCCAAATTCCTTAACAAGTTTGCCAGTAATGTACTCATATATATACTCATATAATATACATATATGCTATATATATGTAGCACAGACATAACAGCTTTTAAAACAGAATTGGGCATCATTTCTGACTTCTTGTACTTTGGTTGAAATGCAAATTCACTTTCTTGTATTGTTGACTATGTTTCTTTGGTAAAAAAAAAATGTTTGTAATAGATTCCAGTTTTATGAGTTCAGGCTAGAAAGAGTTGTCTGCTCTGTCTAAACTTGGCCACTTTGTGTAATTCTAATTGTTACTAACAGAACATGAACCTGAGAGATTGTGTTTTAAGGAGCCTCTTGTAGGGAAGGGGAGAACTATGTAGCAGAACATCATCTTAACAAATAAAAGTTGGCAGTTGAACTGTGCACTCAAGCTAAGCAAGTGGAAGAAAGATTTTTAGGCCTAAAGACATGATTTAGAACCTGCAGGGCTCTATGATTAAAGTGCACCAGCATGTGTATGCATTAAAGCCAACACTGAAGTAACAACAGAAAAGCTGTCTTCTTGCAAATCAGAAGTACTTCTTGAGAATCAGGTCTCCTGACATCAGAAATCGCACGTGATTCAAAATCCTGCAAAAAGAAGAGAACTAATCTACTTTCTATTTTTGCATATCAACATGAAAACAGTTATTTAATGTAGATGGACAGTAGGGGTAGATGATCTTGGAGGTCCTTTTCCAACGTTGGTGGTTCTATGATTCTGTGGTTTAAGTGATGGTTAAGGGATAATCAGCAGAAAGGCACATTAGCATTGCAGTGTGTGATTCCTTTCTGCCAGGCCTTCAGACCTGTACCCTGTGTTTCTGTAGACATACTTCACGTGTCTGCCTGTGTTTAGTAAGGGTTCAATGCAAAGACAGTTAAGTCAGTAGAAATTCTTCTGTGCTTTTTGGATCAAACTCCTATTTTCAGACAAGATAACCTAACATTGAATGTTCTTTAAAAAGTCCTATGTAGGAAGAAAAAAAAAAAACACACACAAAAAACCCACCAAAATATACATGAAAAATTCTAATACTGCGTCAAAATGTAAGGGCCCCAAAGTTGTTGCAGACACAAATTATAGTTCA